AGCCTCTGGAACTCGATCCCAGAGTCCCTCCGCCTCGCCCCTCCTTTGCCTCCTTCAAGATCCATCTCAAGACCCTCCTCTTCGACCGTGCCTTCGATCACCATCTTACCCCTACCCTCCCCACCCTCCACCCCTCCTGATCCCAGCCACCAGCTCGAGTGTGGATCCCTGACTGTCCAGCACCTTGGGACATCCTGATGTGAAAGGCGCTGTACGAATATAATTTGTTGTTTGACTAATTTCCGATATTGCATTGCCAGACAAATCACCTTGAAGCCATCTGAGTCCCATAGAGACTCCACTTACTTGCCTCTCCCCAAAGGAGCCTCGTCACTGGATGGTCAAAAGCTGCACGGGATAATAAGGCATCTGGCCCTGGGGATTTATTAGTTTTACTTCCCTTTAAATTGACAAGAATAGCTGGCACATTGACTTTCAAATCTTCCAGGATATTGGATATGCAGTAAAAGCTGGATGGCAAATTAGTTTCCATTTCTAGAAAGTGATCCTTTGAATATATCAATATATTTTATCTAGCTCTTTATTTTCCTTTTTTAAGCCGTAATGTTTCCCAGCTCAAACAGGCTTCTAATCGTGTCTCCTCATGTCAGGCACTGATCATATCAACCTCCCTGGCTGCTCCCTCCAAATCATGGAGCCTGTGCAGAATCTTGGCAATTTGTTTGACTTTCCATAGAATCATAGAATATTACAGCACAGAAGGAGGCCATTTGGCCTATTGAGCCTGTGCCAGCTCTTTGGAAGAGCTGCCCAATCAGCCCCACTCCCCTCTTTCCCCATGTCCTTGCAAATGCTTCCTTTTCAAATACCTGTCCAATTCCCTTTTGAAAGTTGTTATTGAATCTGTTTCCACCAACCTTTCAGCCACCTGCTTCCACGCTCGGCATTATCTCCCATCCCATTGCAGCTGAAACCCTCATCCATGTCAGTAATAACGCCCGGACTTGATGTTTCTAACATCCTGCTCCTCAGCCTCCCTTACAAATTCTCTGCAAATTCCAAGCTATACAAAACTATCCTCTTCCAGTTTAGTTTATCTTGCTACTTGCTTTCCTTTTTCTTTTTCAGCCATAACTTTCTCCAACTTAATGTTGGTAAAAATGAGGCTGTCCTGCTTGGGTAGTTGAAGGAGAGGTTTGGAAGAACTTACTTTCCCACAGGTTGTCAGGGCGAGGAATGATTTACCAGGGGCAGGTGTTGTTTGGGGCTTGCAAAAAAAATTGGACGAGTGCATGCAAAGGAAGAATATTCGAGGGTATGGGGAAGGGAGTAATCACAAATGGGCTGAACGGTCTCCTGCTGTGCCGTACATATCTATGGTTATTGCATTACATTTGTCTTTTAGAATTTTATTTTCAAAGTACTTTGAAAGGTAATGTCATATTTCTCCCACGGACTCAAGTTTGTGCTGACAGACTAGAGCTGCTGGGATTGTTCTCCTTAGAGCAGAGGAGGTTAAGGGGAGATTTAATAGAGGGGTTCACAACTATGTGTGGTTTTGATTGAGTAGCCAGGGAGAAACTGTCAATAACCAGGGCAAATAGATTTAAGATAATTGACAAAAGAATCAGAGGGGAGATGAGGAGATATTGTTTACACAGAGAGTTGTTACGGTTTGGAACGAACTGCCTGAAAGGGTGGGAGTGGGGCTGATTCGGTGGCTCTTCCAAAGAGTCGGCACAAGCACGATGGGCCGAATGGCCTCCTTCTGTGCTGTAATATTCCATGATTCTATGATTTAAGTGGTTTCGTTTCAAGCAAGGTTAGTAACAGAATTGGATCTACCACCTGTACTGTCAATTGTCTCATTGTGGCTTTACTCTTAAGTAAAGTGCTGTTTCCACTGTCTGAAGCTCATTATACATACAGTCTAATGTTTATTTTTCATGTTCCTTGACAAAAATCCTTTAAAGAAACTTTAGATAATATAGAGTTCCATTACTTACAAGGATGTTTATTTCTTTAAGTGATTTCTATACCTACAAACCTTGTAATAATTTTAGTCATATTCACAGACTGTTCATCGGGCATAAAAATGCACTAAATCCAATTTTTAAATAACTTTTCTTGCAGACAATCTTTCATTGAACTTGTCCCATCCCTTGCTGTTAATGAGTTGTGTACTGTAATGGTGATAAAGTTCATTATAATTATAGCTTTCACAAGTCATAGCATCTCAGCTGACCAGATTACCCAATTATTCCAATAGTTTTTTTCAAAAAACGAAAATTGCCGTAGAAGATGAACTGGTTCTCCAGCTCCGATGTGTGCGTGCTTGCTTGTATTATTAGAGTATGTCGGCCTGACTCATTTGGTAGCACTCTTGAGTCAGAAGATTGTGGGTTCAAGCTCCACATTGGGACTCAGAACTCCTATATTCTAGGCTGACAGCCATAATGCTGAGAGGATACTACATTGTTAGTGACACCGTCCTTTGGGTAAGATGTTAAACCGAGTACCTGTCTGGTGGTGGACGTTAAAGATTCCATGGCACCAATTGAAAAGAGAAATGGCTTCCTGTGTTGTCCTGGTCAACAATTCCCTCAGATAATCATTGGTTGTTCACGTCACGGCTGTTGTGGGACACTGCTGTGTGCAAATTGACTGCTGTGTTGACCTATAAAATCCACAGTCACTACACTTTACAGTGTATCTTTGAAGCGCTTTGAGATATCTTACTGACAGACGAAGGCAGATGATGTATAATATAGGGAAGTGCGAAGCCATCCACCTCGGTAGAAAAAACAGTAGAGCGGGTTATTTTTTAGAAGGGAAGAGATTGGAATGTGTTAGCGTCCAGAGGGACTCGGGTGTCCTTGTACACCAATCACAGAAAGTTAGTCTGCAGGTGCAGCAGCAATTAGGAAGAACAATTTGGGTCTATATTCTTTAGAATACAGAAGAATTAGAGGGGATCTTATAGAAACCTGTAAGATCATCAAAGGGCATGATAGAGTAGATAGTGGGAGATTGTTTCCCCGGTTGGAGAAACTAAAACCCGGGGTCACAACCTTAAAATCAGAGGCAGCCCTTTCGCACTGAGTTGAGGAAGAACTTCTTCACTCAAAGGATGGTGAATGTGTGGAACTCACTACCCCAAAGGGCTGTTGACGCTCAGTCCTTGAACATATTCAAGACTGAGATAGATATCTTATTGCAAAAGGGATTAAGGGATATGGGGATAAGGCAGCGTCAGGTTATTAGCTGGAGTTAGATTAGAAGATCAGCCATGATTGAATGGCGGGGCAGGCTCGAAGGGCCGAATGGCCTACTCCTGCTCCTACATGTTATGTTATGTTATGACATGAAACGGTACTGCATCTAATGTAAGAATTATTATTATTTTGAAAACATTGCTGGGAAGCTAAAAGAGAGATAGGGCTGTTCACTTACTCACTATATCAAAATTGTGTCTGGCATGACAGAGCAAGGCAAACTAGATGCTGGGCTACATTACCCAATCAGTTGAGTTCAAATCCCTGAATGTTGTCTCAAACTTTATAGTACTTTGACCGCACCTAGAATACTGCATACAGTTGTCGCTGTAATACAATGGGCCTACTCAGGCTATCGAGGCGGTGCAGAAGAGAGCAGTAAGGATGATCCCCGATGTTACAGGAAGGAACTTTGAGCAGTGATGAGACAAGCTAGGGCTCTTTAGTCTTGAGAGAAGGTCTGGGGGACCTTCTTCATCCCAACTGATCTGTTCTCATATGAAAAGCCTATTTTTTTTGTCTCAGTTGTTTGTTTACAGAATGGTGAGAATGGCATTTTGTATTTTCAATTTAGCCGGACAAAGCACAAGCTCGAAAATACTTGGGTGAAGTTTAGTAGACTGAACAACATTTGCGTTCTTAAGTTTAGTTTACTTATCAACTCTGAGTGGTCAACTGGAGTCCTGTAGCTCAGTGGTTAGAGCACTTGCCTTGCAAGAGAGAGACCTGGGTTCGATTCCCAGCAGGGCGAAACGTTGGGCAAGTTTCCTTATTCTACACACCTCTGTTTAACAGCAGTAAGTAGAAACCCAGTTGTTAGTCGACTGGCGGATCGCTTTTAATAATTTTAAAAAATTGGTCACACAATCTACGACTTTGTGGGACGCTGCTGTGCGCAGTTGGCTGTCGTGTTTCGCCCTTAAAATATACAGTCAATTCACTTTACAGTTTATTCTGTGAAGCGCTTTGAGATGTCTCAAAGACATGATAAGGTGCTATATCAAATCCGGGGATTATTATTAAATGAAGCTTAAATTACTTATACCATACATTAATATATTAATTTTAATGGGAAACTTCAGATACTATACCCCTAATCTCTGGAACTCCCTCCATCTCCTTCTCCGTCTGTAATTATTATTATTATTTAAATTCAGTTTTAAACCTAACTCTTCGACCGCACTCACCTATGGTCACCTCCACCTTCCACTCTCCATTGTTCATCATCCAGTCCTATCTGTGTGAAATGCTCCAAGACCTTATCCCATGTGAAAGGCACTGTAAAAGTGCAACTTGTTGTTATTCCTGTTGGATAGTGATGGCAACTCTGATGAGATTTCCTCTCCCAAAGCCATAAAATATACCGTCAATTCACTTTACAATATATCCTGTGAAGCGCTTTGAGATGTCTCGAAGATGTGATAAGGCGCTGTATCAAAAGCAAGGATTATTTATTTTTTCATTATGAGCCTTAGTATTGATAGTAAGCATCATACCCCTCACACAGCCCTGACTAAACCCCACATTGCCCTGACTAGAACCAGCACAGGGAAAGGGGACCTTCTTGGTCTCGGACTTCGAGTCACCAGGATTCAAAAACTGATTTTTTGAATAAAATGAATAAAAATGCTTAAGAAAGTTTAAGTTCTTTTGCTTTGTATTTTGGAAGGATACAATCACTAAATACTGAATAGAATACTGAATGTGTAGCAAACCTATTTGCAGTCTCTAATAGAATTGGATTTGTTTCATTTTTCTGTCTAGAGAGGAGTCAAGACAGTGTGATCTTGGTGCTGTCCGATTCTAACTCAACACAAGACGTCTTTACAGATGCAGCAAGCTCCCAGGACAGCAGCAAAAAGAACCACTCTGGGAAAGGAAGCCCATCTTCATCCTCCACTATGGATGCAACCGTGCTGCCCAGGGATATGCATGTGAAATTGGAGGAAGAGGATTCAGTGGGACGTGTCTCTTCAGACCATTGTAGAGGAGGCAGTGCAGAGATTACAGAAGCCATAGATGCTTTGGCTTTGAGACTGGCGGAACATACAGGTCACCGGCTACCAATGGAGCCAGCTGTGTTGTCCCAGGAAAGCCATAGAAAACTGGAGGAAGACGATTTAACAGGGCGAATTTCTTCTGATGTTTGTGGTGGAGGCAATATGGAGATCCCAGAAACCATAGATGCTTTGGCTTTGAGACTGGCAGAACGTGCGGAATACAGGTTGTCTATGGAGGCAACTGTGGTACCCAGTGAAATCCATAGAAAACTGGAGGAAGAGGATTCAGTGGGACGTGATGCTTCTGGGGTTTGTAAAGGAGGAAGCATGGAGATCCCAGAAGTAGTAGATACTTTGAGAATGGCCGAGCAGGCAGGACAAAGATTATCCATGGAATCCCAAACCGCTGCTCTTACCACTCCTCCCAAAGCCTCCACCTCATCTCAGTGGGACGCAAAGAAGAAGACAACCGAGCAATCTGGAGAGGTGAAAGAAGCTTACAGACTGGAGGACTTCCCTCAGAGTCTGCCAGCAGACAAGAGGGAGCAGCGCAGAGTTCTGACTGAGCAGTGTATCAGAGCCCTGCATCTTTGTCTCAGCCGATTCCCTCAGCACTATAAGAGTCTCTACAGGCTGGCATATCTGTATACTTATAGCAAAACACACAAGGTAAGTGAATGCTAGCCTCTGTCTTAATAAACATTCAGTTTGAGAAACCAAATAGCTGTTGCTTTGCATTCAGTGGTACGTTGTGTGACTGAACGAGTTCAGGCAATTGGATGGTGAAAGTGGTATAAAAGAAATAAAATTGAGAACTGCTGTTAATATATCTTACTCTACATTAGAATCCATTGTATGAGACTTATTTGGGGTAAGTTGAATAATTCTGATTACTGATCTGATGTTGAAGACATTAATCCTTGCCGTTATTAACACTTAAGAACTTTACTATGGCAAAGAATTAACATTTTTGTGTAAAATATCTCAGCGAGTTTGTATGTGTTAACTCAACTTGCCCATGAATATATATATTTATTAACCCTTGTAAACTGGATAACTCCCTTTATCCTTCCATCAGCACATGTATAGGGCTTCTGTTTTTCAATGTTTATTCATTTTATTTTTCGGGCAATGCTATTTTTTAGCAAAAGCTGCTTATTTTTTAGCAGCTTTTGATTTTTCAGTGGATGTCCAAAAATCGGGGATTTTTGCTTTTTATAAATGAGAAGATGTTTTTGGATACGCCTCTCCAGCCACACCTGTGCAAACAGAGGGGAGAGAGGCACTCTCACACACCTGCAATGTCTCCCTCGATCACATACACCCTTCATGAGATATGCCTGCACACACACAGAGGGAGAGGCAGAGAGCGAGAGGAATGCAGGACCAGATGGCACAACAGGACGTCATAGAGAGTGAGAGAGAAAGAGAGAGAAACTTTGGTCTTGAGTAATTATTTCAGGTGGTTTTCCTGTGTTTATCTGATAAACACCATTTTTTTTATTGGGGTATTTCATCGGTGTTAAAAGCAGCCCTTATGTTCAGGTAATTTTCCCTTCTCTCTTATGTTTTTATTCAAATGTCTTATCAAATTATATTTGACATGACTTCAAATTAGCACTTGTAGTAATGCCTTTCACATCCTTATTCATATATATTCCTTTGTGTAAAACAAATCATCTAACAGCGTCTTGTTTTGTGCTTCCAGTAATAATTGTGAGTTCATGTCTTCCTTTTCCTTCAATTCCTGGAGCAAGTTTTGAAGTGAGGCAAATGGGACAGGTTTTATTGCGTAGAGAAGAGATAGACCTTTCAAAATGACTTTAATGAGTAATTCAAGACTGTGAACTTGATGGTTAAAAGCATTGAGAATATCCCTTCGGGGGTATAAAAGCTAAAGGGAATTAATTCACACAGGAAATCAAAGGAGGGATCAGGAAAACAGGGAGAAAAGAGTCAACTTTGAAGTGTTTTTATATGAATGCATAAAGCATTCAAACTAAAATGAGATTATTTATTAGAACTCCTTCAATATAATAGCATTAACAGCATTATATATCTTTAAGGACGATGTAAAACGCGTTCTGGTGAAGTCTCTCTGGATAAGAGTTCAGAAATAATAAGGGATTGATTGCTTGATTAGGAGTATAGTACAGACTGCCAAATGATGCTAACCATATAGAGAGTGTCATTTGTAGGGTACTTTACTCTTACTTGTCTGTAAATAGATTGAGAATGGAGGTTTTTGTTACAATGCATTCAGGACTGTTTCCTTCACCAGTCACTGGCTCAACAGGAAAGGAGACCGAGATTGTCAATGCACACAGTGCCACCAGACAGCGTCACAGACATGCATTTATAGAATCATAGAGTATTACAGATCAGAAGGAGGCCATTCGGCCCATCGTGCCTGTGCTGGCTCTTTGGAAAAGCTGCCCAATCAGCACCACTCCCCCACTCTTTACCCATATCCTTGCAAATGTTTCCTTTTCAAGTACCTATCCAAGTCCCTTTTGCAAGTTGTTATTTGAATATTTTTTTTTATCAGATATTTATTTTGACCCCCACATTGTAACTTTCACTAAGTTTGTTTTCCCGCAGAACCTCACCTGGGCTCGAGATGTGTTGCTGGGCATCAGTGTCCCCTGGCAACACCTGAAGCACATGTCAGCACAGGGACTCTTCTATGAGAGGAACAAGACCAACTTTTTTAATGTAAGTTGTTTTTTTTTCTCTCTCCACAAAGAGAATATTTATTTTAAATGTAAAGTTAATGTCCTTCCTAAAATGGGTGTTGCGTGCATGTCCTATGCCAGTTCATGTGTTGGTCATTTGATATTTCCAGGGTATTTCTGGACTTTGCATTGGAATTTTGCTGTGTTCTTTTGTCTTGTTAGGTTACAATATAAATTTACATTTATACAGTGCTTTTCACATAGGGACGACATCCGAAGTCCTTGATACTGGCTGCGCATTGAGCTCGGGGTGAGAGCCGAGGGGTAGTGGGGTGTTTCGGAAGTCAAAGAAGCCGAGCAAAGGAGCCATGTAGGAGAGGACCATATGCTTCTGGATCACCCTCCAAAACTCCTGGCTCCTTCCAAACAATCCATAATCTCACTGTGGATGAACACATTGATATCCAGGGATGTGTGAAGCCAGGCTCCCTCCTAGTGAAACCTTCACATTCACTGAGGCAGCTTCATCAGGATTCCCATTCCATCATACTCTCACCCAGATTGCTGAGGCAGTGGCATTGCTTTGTTTACAAATTTTGCCTTGGTCTATCCCCTTACTCTTCTAGATCACTTCTCCGCATTTGAGCACCTCACTCTTTACCATCTCTAGCTTCTCCCTCAATGATCCTCAATGTCTACTCTCCTCCCAAACCTACCGGTGCTTTTTGTGCTGAAATCTCCTCTCTCCTATCTTCCTTCAGCTTCTCCGATTGCCTTCTCATCCTGGGTGACTTCAACCTTTTCTTCACTCCTGCCTGTGCCTGTTTCTGTTCTGTATTGGCTTTTCCTTTCCTCCGTCCTCTTCTCACCAAAACAGCCCTATCAAAGTCATTAATAACATCCCCTCTGCCTGGGACCAGGGCTCCATGTGTCTCCTGGACCTCCTTCTAATCTCTCCAGTGCTGAAACCCTACCCATTGTTTGTGTGTGAGCCCTTGCAGTGAGTGTTGGGAGGCCACTTGTCTGAAGAAAGTATCAAAGCTGAGTCTGTTAGGAAATAATGTCTCGGGATACAATATATAGTTTGGTAAATCACATGTCCATGCGACTGCCAGGATGGTGGAAGGCGAACTGGATGGACCTTGTTCTTCTTGGGCCTAACAAATCCTTATGTTCTTTTGTACAGCTGACCTGAATGAGATAGACCGGATCTTCGATTTTATTCTTTAGTGACAATTTTTTTTTCATTGTGCCATTATATCCTCATACTTTTTATATTCCTAGTCAGTCGGGTGTTTGACATTCATCACATCCAGGCTCGAATACATCAACTCCATCCTTGTCGGCCTTCCCTCCACAAGCTGCAGATCATTCAGAACTCTGCAACTCATGTCCTCTCCAGAACCAGGCTCTGTGACCCCTCCTCGCCCAGGCCTTCTGGCTCCTCATACCCCAGGTGATCGAGTTCAAAATCCTCGTCCTCACTTTCGAACCCCTCCACGACCTTGCTCCTCCCTACCTCTGTGACCTCCTAACCCCATAATGGTCTGCCCGGTCCCTCCACTCAGCAGGCGCCGGCCTGCTCCATGTCCCCCACCCTGCCTGTCCCACCATCGGCAGTTGGGCCTTCATCCTTTCTACCCCCACCCTCTCTGCCCTCCACCCCTCCTAATCTCAACCCCCAGCTCAGGTGCACATCTTTCACTGTCCAGCGCTTGGGATGTCCTCCCAATGTGAAAGGCGCTGTATAAATGTCATTTGCTGTTGTAGACACACATGGGCATCACCATGGTAAAGTATCCAAACCAGACTGAGAATTCCATGCATCCCACCTACTCATGGAAATTCCCTTGTTTGGAATGGAATGTGCACTCTCTCCCTGGAGAGACGCACTCTGCTTAACTAATTCTGGAGAGTATCAGGAGCAGGTTGGCAGCAATTGAAGCTAGGGGACCCCAGTCTGTGCGTTGGAGGACTGCTGGAGTTTAACCAACTAAGACTGCATAGCTTGCAATTGAAAACACTGTCTGGTAAGCTTCCCACTACATGCCCAGTTAGGACCACACTATCAATTAGGGCTCTGGTCTACAGGGTTAAACGGGTTGAGTGGAAAAAATCCACTGTAAATCTTATAGTTGTTTTGATTCATTATTTTCTTTTCTGCTTGTGCCCTCACTACCACTGTACTGGTTTGAGTCCTCTTCCACTATCCTGATTACTCTCTGGCTTGCCAGCACTCATAAGTAGACATATACAGGCAAAAGGTTCAGTACCTTAAAATGTAGGAGGTGCATCAATAATAATTGTCACCAGTGCACACAGCGAATAAGTGGCAACAACCTGTTCATTCAGAACAGCACCTCTGTATTTAGGATTAAATAATACCACTAGAACAAGGAGGATAGAATGGGAAGCCCAAAGCTCTCTCAAAACTGACCCATTATGGGAGAATGGATTCACCAAATGGTGTAAATTTAATGTTGAGGTGAGATATAGACCCCAGTCACTTGATTTTTGAAAGTGGTCTAGATAGCACACTTTGGGATTTAGCCCTATGAAAGGTCTTCTGGGTGAGCTCTGTACCTAACTCTAGAAGCTGCTGGGAACACTGAGCAGGTCAGGCAGTATCTACGCGGAAAGGAAAGTTGAGTTTGAAATGTTAACCACTTTCCTCTCTCCATAGATGCTGCCTGACCTCCTTCATGTTCCCAGCCACTTCTGTTTTTATTTCAGATTTCCAGCATCTGCAGGCATTTTGCCTACTTGTTTCCTGCATCTACTTCTCATGATTTTAAAACCAGCCATTAAACACTATCCCTAAAACCACAGGCTACAGCCCCAGATCTGCACAGATTTATCCTAAATGTAGCCCAGGCACAGTTCCAGAATAAGGCTCAGTTGCAGAATAACTCCTGGCAGCCTTCAACGTTTCCAGGCAACGCAAACAACCATCCGGCTTTCTCCTCCTGAGCACATTTGCATCATGACGTCTCCATGTTTACACAGTTAAAGCAATTCTTGGAGCTCCTGTAGGCTGAGCGAGGGCAGGCCGGATTATCCTTGGTGTCTAGGTACTGCTTTTGGGGACCTTTGCAACCTTCAGACTGCTGAGATTACTAGCTTTGAGATGTCTCGAAGATGTGATAAGGCACTATACTGAATGCAAGTATTATTATTATTATTACTAATGACGTTTTGAAAATTGAAACTTCTGTGAGACGTAACCTGTCCCAACATGCCTCATCATATTTGTTATGTGAATAGCCTAGACAATTTCTAGAGCTTGTGAGAAACTACATCTGTAATTCTATCTGAATGCATAATGTTAAGATACATTACATCATCAGTTTAGAGGGAACAAAGCCAAGTCACTCAAGAATTGGAACAAGTTGTGTTAGTTTTCTCTGCAGCAAACCAAGCCAAGCAGGACTGCAATGTTCCATCGGTGTACTTGCCCCACAGATTGTGCAGTAGATTGTCCCAAACTACTCTGATGGTGCAGAGGAAAATAATTCACAAAATAAGGGGAAGGATGAAAGTTAGATTCTTTCAAAGATCTCACTTATCTTATAACAATAATAATAATACAAAGTTCAGATTAGAGGATATCTGTATCACAGAAGTGTGCTCAGTAATATTTTCCTTAACGGCCTGCATGCTAGTACATCTCCATATTATATACAGCTCAGATGGTGGAGTCCTGTGGCTCAGTGGTTAGAACACTCGCTTTGCAAGTGAGAGACCTGAGTTCAATTCCAGGCAGAGGGCGAAGCCTTGGGCAAATTTCCTTACTCCACACAGAGCCTAATAATAATAATCCCTCCAAAACCAAAACAATAATAAATTGGTCATTTTCAATCTATGACTGTTTGTGGGACATTGCTGTGCGCAATTGGCTGCCGCGTTCGCCCACAAATATACAGTCAATTCACTTTACAGTGTGTTCTGTGAAGCAATTTGGGACGTCCTCCTGACATGAAAAGCGCTATATCGAATGCAAGGATGATTATTATTATCCTAATAACACAGTGATGTGCCCTGTGACATAAACGTGAACCATAATCATTTGATGAAATTGTTCTCTCCTTCTATTGTCATATTGGGATGGAGTCCTGTAGCTCAGTGGTTAGAGCACTTGCCTCACAAGCGAGAAGACCTGGGTTTGATTCCTGGGCAGGGCGAAATGTTGGGCAAGTCTCCTTACTCCACACGTCTCTGTTTACCAGCAGTAAGTAGGAACCCAGTTGTTAGTCGATTGGCGATCTCTTTTCCGGAGGTAATAATCTCTTCAAAAATGTTATTGAAAATAATAATAATTTGTTCACTTAATCCATGACTGTTTGTGGGGCGCTGCTGTGCGCAATTGGTAGCTGTGTTTCGCCCACAAAATATACACAGTCAGTTCACTTTACAGTATATTCTGTGAAGAACTTTTGAGACGTCTCGAAAATGTGATAAGGTGCTATATCAAATGCAAGGATTACTATCATTATTATATTTCAATGGTCTTGACCATTGGTGTTCATGGATCAAACATTGTTGGAAATTACATCTGCCTGTCTGAGAAAGAATGGAAGGATTTGAATGCTTTGAGACACCATCCGGCCTGAGGGACGTTATATAAATGGAATTTGTTGTTTATTGTTTCACCTCTTTAAAATTCGTGCTTTGTGACCTCTATGTACTGTCTCACTTGCTCAGTTTTCATAATGTCAGTGAGTTAGTCACTGTGGAAGCTGGGTTTTTGCAGTTCTGACACATATCGATCAGTGCCAATGCCTGTTTGTGTTTGTTCACTTTTATGTTCATCGACTATGCCTTCGGCTACCCTCCCTGCCCTTCGCCCCTCCTTTACTCCCACCACCCCCGCTAGGGCCCAAATCCCTAACTGTCCAACACCTTGGGAAGTCCTCCTGACATAAAAGGCACTATACAAATGTAATTTTTTAAATTGTATTATAATTCCCATTACATTTTTATGAAAGCAAAGTTGTATTATATTATAGTGCCCTCTGATGCCAACATAACTCAAAGCACACA